TGGCTGTTGTCTATAGTAAAAAGTCGGGGAGGGTTATGAAGCTTTCGGCCAATGCACCGGGCGTGCAGCTCTACACGGGTAATTACGTGCACGATTTGAAAGGGAAAGGCGGGTTCGTTTACCAGCCTCACTCGGCTCTGTGTTTGGAGACTCAAGGATTTCCAGATTCCGTGAACCACCCGAATTTTCCTTCGCAGATTGTTTTTCCGGGAAAATGCTACGCGCATTACATGCTTTATTCGTTCTCGATCAAGAAATGATCTTTATAGAGTTTATAGAGTTCATCGTGGGCTCATTCGTTGAATATTCTTGAGTCGAATAAGTTAACTAATGACGTTGTCTTGATTTGAACATTTGAAATGAGAATAATAGCCATTGATCGAACTTTTGATATTCGTTCTCGGTCGAGAAGTAATCTTTTAGTGTTAATTGTGGGCTCGTCGTTGAATTCTTGAGTCGAACAAGTTAACTAATGACGTTGTCTTGATGTGAACATTTGAAACGAGAATAACCATTGATCGAATTGAACTTTTGATTTCGAACAACTCTAGCGCTTTAGCCAAAAGAGAAAGTAAAAAAAGATAGGGAGAGATAGAACTTTGAAGAACAAGATCATAAATGCAAATGATCCTTGGAATTATATAGACAAATTCTATCTGCTACAAGCTGCACGAAAGCACGATAGACTCGCGTATTTATTACGAAGAAATCGTCTGCAAAAACGACAAAAAGAAAAAAAAGGAAAAGAAAATCGGTTCTGAGGGAAAAAAAAATGAAGAAACCCGACAATATTCTCTTCCTCTGTCTCCTCCTCTTGTGTTTTTGCTCTGCTTGGAGCATACGTAAAACTTCGTACGATCATTTTCAACTAGTTTACACATGGCCAAACACGTTTTGTTTGGACCGAAACGTGACGTGTAATAAACCCGTGCCTCAGAATTTCGTGATCCACGGACTTTGGCCAGCCGATAAATCGGGCAAACCTTTAACTCATTGTTATAAGACCGGAAGCATATCTTCGGCTGTAAGTGCTTTTTTTTTCACATTCTTTTAAGTTTTATCCATCTTTCGTGCAAAACGGGCTTTTTTTTACCACTTTTCGAAATGTCGAATATATGCAGATTAGCAAATACGAAAGACAGCTGGCGCATTCGTGGCCTTCTCTAAGAACTGATCTGATGAACACGAACTTTTGACAATACCAATGGGACAAACACGGCTCGTGCGCGCTTTCGAGAATGAACGTGCACAATTATCTGCAGCTGATTATTACCACACAACAAATGCTCGATTTATTACGGGCCTTGACTAGCAACAACATCAAGCCCAATAACGGGTCGCTGTTGAACACCGTTAAATCCATCGAGGCTGCTGTAAAACGGGGGATTGGGGCTCGTCATTTTTACGTATCGTGTCGAGTTTTGAAGGGCCGCGTTTTTCTTAGAGAGATTTTTATATGTTTGGATGGGAATGGGAAAAAGATTGTGTCTTGTCCAATTAGATATCATTCGACAGGATGTGGTAAGGATAAGAATCTGGTTTTCCCAGCTTCTGATGCATCAAGAATGTGACAGATAGTAATAAATCGACTATGAGTGACTCTATAGCCTGCATTTGTATATGGTTTTTCGTTGGTGAAAAAAATTAATTATCAAAGAAAGTAAATTAGTAGAAGAATTGATATATATATATGATATAAATATTTTTATAATGAAAAGTTGGTGTGATATAGAAATTAATAATTAATTAGGATTCGATGAACTCCAACTCTTTTTTTTTTTTTGGTACAGGGACCTTCCGGTTTCTGGATCCACAGGGGAACCGACTAATCCGGAATCGAGCCGGGTAGGACCACAATGGCGGCAAAGCTCTCCCTCAAGAGTTTTAACACTGCTGCATTCCTAGGGCTCGAACTCGAGACAACTCCAACTCTTTTTAAAACAAAATATTTGAATTTTTTATCATTGGTGAAAGAGAAATTGATTAGATGAGCCAAACAAGGCACATAGACAATTCAACTCGAAATCGGGTTTAAGTCTTGATCGAGTTGAACTTGGCCGGACTTCTTAAATTAATAAGTCAATAAATAAGCTCAAACTCGAGTCGTTTATACAAGTTCAAAATATTTCGTAAAAGGTCCTATTTATTTGAACGTAACGAGCCAAGCCGAGCCGACCTGAGATTGGCATGTTAACCCAACGGGCCTTAAATCACATGTTTTTGTGGGCAAATGAGAAAGAGGCTATTTTTCTACAGTTGAAAATTGACAGCCTTTGCCCCATTGGGCTACGGCTCTGAAAATGGCTACGCGAATGCTTTCAGCTCCTCTGCTCCAGTCTAAAGCAAAGAAACTTAATCGTTCACACCCACTTTCAAGATCATTTTTTTTTCGATTGATTAACCATCACCATAACAGTTGCCGATCGACCCATCTGTCAATTCGGGGTAGGAAGAGGACCCGGTTTCAACCCGAGCCCTATTCTGCAAAATCAATGCTCGTGCGGGGGGGTGCTCCTGCAAATTCTCAGAAGAAGAAAGTTTGGATATGGACGGAAAAGAAGGAGGTGATGACAGCCGCCGTGGAGAGAGGTTGGAGTACTTTTGTCTTTGGCTCCGACCGCCGAGAACTCGCCGCCGACTGGTCATGTACGAACACAATGCCCTTTTAGTGCGTGTGAATGTGTGCGAGCTATGTGTTGTACGTTAAAGAATGTGTTTGTTTTGTTATACATTTTCGCAGGTTTATGAAATAAGCTGGAATTATGGATGAAAAATGTTGAAAAGGGGTTATATATAGATTCATACTGTTCTGCTAGCAAAGATTTTATGACACTTTATTAAACTTTAGTTATGAATTGTGCAGCAATTGCATTATTGTATCCTCTCTTCATTGAACAAGGAGGGCTCTTTGACAGTGAGAGCGTAAAAATCGCGTCTTTCATTGAAATTTCTTCATCCGAGCAGCTGGAGAAGCTC